GGTGCACGGGAATCGTCTCGCGGTCCAGAGATTTCGTGAGTACCAGAAACAGGGATTTACTGCGAGAGTTACTGTTTTCTTCCTCTATTTTAAAATGTTCGCTGGGGCTGAGTGCGTAGGTGAGCTGAGCGTTTGCTCCGATATCCGCATCCGACGCGCCCTCCAGAGGGAAACGAGACCCCAGCAAAGACGATTCCGCGATGCTGAGGTTTTTTCGGGCGGCGGGGAAGACGGGGGCATTGTCGTTGATGTCGGTGACCTCCAGCTGCACATGGAAGACGCGCAGCGGCCGCTCCAGCAGCACCTCCAGGCGCAGCGCGCACGGCGCGCTCTTGCCGCACAGCTCCTCCCGGTCCAGCCGCGAGCTCACCAGCAGCGCGCCGCTCGCCCCGCTCACCTCCACGCTCGCCCGCCGGCCCGGCGCCACCAGCCGCAGCCGCCGCGCCTCCGCCTCACCCGCCTCCAGGCCCAGGTCCTGCGCCAGACGGCCCACCACCGTGCCGGCCTTGGCTTCCTCCGGCACCGAGTAGCGCACCTGCCCGCCCGACAGCGCCCAGGCCGCCTGCAGCACCAGCACCCGCACCACCGCCGCACAACGCTCGCCCATCCTTCCTGCCGCTCTCGCCGCCGCCGCTCTGCCCGCCGGCCCCGGCCCGGCGCCCCGCACGGCTCCCCGCCGCCGCCCGCACGCACCGGCTCTGCTGCCCGGCCCGAGCCGCCCCCCCCCGCGCTCACAGCCGGGCTCTCCGCCGCACCGGGGCGGAGCCGCCCACACAGACCCGTTCCTGAGCCTGCAGCGACACCGTGCGCTGCTCCGCCGCCGCACACGCTCCGCCGCATCAACTGTACCTCCTCTTCATCATGCCAATCTCCTCTCCTTTTTCTTCTTCCCGTGCTCCTTTTGTATTTTATCCTTTCGACTTTTACCGCTGCTCTCTTCTTACCCCTTCTGGTATCTCGCCTGTCGCCTCCGGAGCCAGATAGCAGAAAAACAAGCAAGACCCACGAACTCGACTTACGTGGCTTTAGCGTCTTACCGCGGAATATTCCAACCGCGGAGAGGGCTCTTGAGAACCAGCTCCACCCACCGATTAGAGGTAAGGTCGTTTCATACTGCTCATCTCATTTGCTCTTTTTTTCTTTCTTTTATTTCTCATCTTTGATCTTTACTTACCTCCTTGTGTAATACCTTGATAGCATTTCTGCCTTTCCTTTCTCTCACTCGTTTATTCCCTCCATTCTTGTTCTTCTCCTTTTCTGTTTACAATGAGAGCATCGGTGACATACCAGTAAATTCATCCGTCCATCTTTCCCTTCTTTCTTTTTCCCATCTTCTTCCTCCTCTTCACTGTCCTTATGTACAAACATACTCTCCTCTTCCTCATCTCCATTACCAATGTATTTTTCCATTACTTCACTCTCTCCATGAGGCACAAACACGACATTTGTGACAGTTCTCGTTCCTCTCTGCTGTCATCTTTCATCTCTCCACTCAAGGAGCAAATTTCCTGCTCACTTCAAGTCTGTGCCAGACTGACAGAGTGCTCTTTCACCTTACCTTCCGGAAGGAAATCACACTCTCAGGCTCCATTCGCTCAAGGGAGAGAATTCACAGCCTCTGAAACACAGACCAAATCCCTAGGTATTTTGAAATTGGTGTAAACAGACAAAAGCACAAACAACCCAGTGAATCTTCTTCAAGAACTTAAAGCCATCAAGGCCCAGCACGTCAATCCACCCTTAATGCTGAAAAAAATATGGAGCAACCACAGCTTCTGAACACTTTTCATATACTCTGATGAAGACCTAGTCTTCAGGCCAAATTTGCCACCTGCATGCTGAATGTAAATTTATGGCTTCGTATTTCAGGCAGGTCAGCGCAGTCAGAAACACACAGAAAGAATGTCAAACCCCAGGATGGATCTTTTTGGATCAGGCTGCACAGAGAAATTACACAGGGGCAAATTCCCTGTGAAATGTCTCTGTGCAGCCTGATCCACAGGGTAAAGGCAACACAGTCATTTTATTTGTGTCATTTTCTCTGAGAACACACTCCTGACTCCCAACACATCCACTCTGAGAAATGTGTTAGGGTGTCTCCTTCATCCATGCTTGCTGTTATTTGCTCGAACTGTGTCTGGAGAAAGAACTTAGGAATGGGAGGAGGCAGTGGTGCTCTGCTGATCCAGTAAAGGAATCACAGAACATTTCAAACTGGAAAGCACCCATAAGGATTATCAAATCCAACTCCAAATCCAGGCACATTTAGTCAATCCAAAACGAAGATACCATGACTAAAGACATAAAAAGGTGCAACAGTATTTCAGACTCATCTTCTTTAGGTAGCAGGAACTTACCTGAAGCATACCTGGCTCCTTCTTCAGAAAATATTTACTGTCAATTGAGAGAAGAGGTTCTGAAGCATATTTTCTTTTAATGTTATCAGAGATTAATGGGGAAGACAAATAGGGGGAAATGACCCACATTCTGCAAAAGCCTCTAAATCACTGAACGGAAGCACAATGCTCCTTCATATACTTGCATTGCATGCTAAGTAGAAGACATCCTGCAAATCTAAGGTCATTCTGCCAACCTCAACCTCAGCTTAGAAGACTGGAAAATCCATCCCTCACACTGGTGGTCAACTACTGGAAACTCTGCTACTTGACAGCTGTCAAAATTCAGCAGTGTGCATTTCATCCACTGTTACCAACACATGGCAAATGCAAAAGAAGAAAAATATAAAAAAGATGGAATGTTTTGGAAAAGGAGGGAAGAAAACTAGAAGGTCCCATTCCACCACATCAAAATGCCAAGGCTGACAACTTCTGGTTATGGACAGAAGTTTTCCTGCTCCCTATCAAGACAAGAGCAGAGATGTAAACAAGGAGAGCTTCAGAGAAGGCTGACCAAGCAATCATTGGTAATTGGATAATTGGAAAAGCTGCTGTTTCACCAACATCATATTTTCAAAAGCAAATTATCTAAGTTGTGTATTGGAAGATGTCTTCACATCTGACAGGAAGAGCACAGACAATACCAAGGATACACAGGACTTAAGAAGGAAATGAGAGGATCCCAGGAGAGCAACCCTGGGTCACAGGTATCTTCGCAAGGTTTTCCAGTGGAATCCTCTATCCCAAGCTCTGGGAAATGAATCTCCAGCTAAGCAGCTGGAGCTTTTCTTCCCCTGTGACAATGCTTATGCTACACAGCATCTCCATTTCCTCAGTAAAAAAACTTCTCCACTCAAAGACACCCTACCCATGAGACAGAGCCCAAGCAGTACTCTCTGCCACTTGGAGGATTACAAGCCAAACTGCCCCACCAAAACAGCATGCCCCAGGAATAAAACCCACTCTGATCATAATCCAGGCCTTTGCACATCCCCACCCTCCCTCACATTTGGCATAAAGAACTTATGAAGAAATGCCAAGCCACAGAACGTCTGCCAGACTGTGTGAAATTTACCTTAAACACGCTGAGCTTTTTAGCAATCTTAGATGGAAACACCACAGAGTTACACATTGGAGATGTTTGAAATTCTGTGATCAGAGTGACAGCTCTGACCCTGGCCCAGATTAATTTTATTTTGAGACAACCACAACAAAAGCCAAAGCATAGGCAGAGTCACAATATCAATTCTGGGGGAGAATTTCTACCATAACATCTGAGATGAGCTGCTCTGCAGGGTTTGGTATGGCCATGCATGTATCAGGGTTAAGCATGACCAGGGAATATCCCATTTCTACTGAGGCTGACCCTGAAAGTGCTCAAGTAGGAGATATGAAGTCCACACAGATTTATGCTCTCTTCCTCATCACATCCTCTTGCAAATTCCACTTGACAAGCAGCAAGGAACAATCATGGCAAAATCAACAGCTGAGGAAGCTGCTTTAGACATGGACTCCTACACAAAGACTCCAGCAACCTGAAGTCCTACCCTCCCACAATGCCTTCCTCAAAATTAAAGGGAAGTGGTTCATTAAACAATCTTCATCACTGCATTTCCTCTTACCAACACATTTTATACAGTAATGATGTATCAGCACAAATCTCTTTCTGTTCTGGGAGAACTTCATCACCTCAAAGAACTTTGTGGCCATTTCAATACCACACAGCATCTCAGGATCCACGAGGCCGCCAACTCCAGGACCTTAGAATCTTGCAAAGGATCCCAGGCAGAAGCACTCTGAGCCCATCCTGCCTCACAGTTTTCTCTAGGAATCTATCCTTCGTTCATCACTCTGGGACATGAGTTCTCAAGACAACCGCATCATGACTCATTCTTGTCATAAGACATGGCCCATGCCTTCTCACTGAATTCCACCTTCCTCATGGAGCTTTTCTGCTCAAGGTCACATCAAAACAAACCTGGCCCTAACTCTGCCATTGCCACAATCACTTTAGTAAACATTCTATATTTTCCTTCCTTTACAGAAAGCAAAACAAATTACAAGGAAAAAGGTGATATTAAAGTCCATACTGCCTTTCCTACTTTCTTAATGAGCCTGATGGTGAAACCTAAATGCAGAATTGTTGTTTTCCATAGGGAGTCAAATATTTGAAGACCCAAGTGTAATTTTGTTCATATCGCTAGCAAGGAAAATGAAAGAGGAGATTTTTCAGTAACAATACAGACCTAACACCAACATAGTCAAAAGTCACCAAAGCCTTAAGTCAAAACAAGGTGACTGGGGGACTGTCACCACCAAGGTTTGTCTTGTATTCCTGCATCAAGCAGACATTGAAACCCTTCACACAAAAAAGTAAGAAACTTGCCTACAAAGCTGGCACCCCGGGGCACCTCTCAATGCAATAGGCAATGATTTCATTCCTGAGTAAAACTCCTGCCCAGCGAGATTCACCTGCAGATGGTAACAGTTCTGGAGTGCAAAAATAACTTAATTCTGCCTCCACGCACCAAGAAATTCCAAAATGAGGTGAGGAAAGGCCGACAATAGAAATATCCCTTTATCATCCTTAAACAACCACTGACATCAATCTGCGGGGGCGGAGCCTCGCTGCAAGCAGGAAATACCCAGGGGACGGGAGAGAATGGGCGGAGAAGAAACCAAACAGCGAGAGGCGAACAAGGTATTGCCACTGACCGTGTCGAGGAGAGCGGAGGGCTCCGGCTGCGTGTCCTTGGCTGCAGGAGCGGGCGGCGGCGGAGGGAAGTTGGGGCTGAAAACCATGAGGTCGCTCTTGGCAGCGCCGTCCGCCACGCACAGGCTGCGGCTGTGGCGCTGCGAGTAGGACCAGCTGCCCACTTCGCTGGCGCACACGAGCGTCGTGGGCCCGGGCGCCGAGAGCACGGCCGCCCGCGGCGCCCAGCGCGACGCCCCGTACAGCACCACGGCCAGCAGGAAGAGGCTGGACACGGCGCAGATGGCCACCACCAGCCACACGTTGGTGGCCGCGCTCGCCGCCCCGGCCCCGAGCTCCACGCCCGCCGCCGAGCGCGACACCGCTGAGGACGACGCCGACGAGGATCCCGCGGCCAGCGCCGCCTCGGCGGCCTCGAGCAGCGACACGCTGAGCGTGGCTGTGGCCGAGCGCGCCGGCTCGCCGTGGTCGCGCACGACGATCAGCAGCCTCTGGCGAGGTCCGTCCGCCTCGTCCAGCGCCCGCGCCGTGCTCACCTCGCCGCTGTAGAGCCCCACGCGGAACGGGCCCTTGCCCCGCGGCTCCCACAGCTCGTAGCGCAGCCACGCGTTGTAGCCCGAGTCGGCGTCCACGGCGCGGATCTTGGCCACCACCTGCCCCGCCGGCGCCCCCCACGCCGCCCACGCCCACAGCGTGCCCGACTCCGAGCCCGCCCCCGACAGCGACAAAGCCGCCTCCGCCGCCGCCACGCCGCCCGCCTCCGCTGCCGAGCCCGCGGGCGGCAGCAGCGCCGGCGCGTTGTCGTTCTCGTCCAGCACGAACAGCTGCACCGTGGCGTTGCCGCTCAGCGGCGGCTCCCCCGCGTCCACCGCGCGCACCTCGAACTGCAGCACCTGCAGCTCCTCGTAGTCCAAGGGCTGCAGCGCCCACAGACGCCCGCTCTCCGCGTCCACCGACACGTAGCTCGACGCCGGACGCCACCCAACGCCACCCGACGACGACCCCGCGGCCCCGCCGCCGCCCACGCCCACGCCGCCGTCCCACACCGAGTAGCTGACGCGCCCGTTGGCCGCCTCGTCCGGGTCCCGCGCCCACAGCCGCGCCAGCTCCGCGCCCGCCGCGTTGTTCTCCCGCGCCAGCACCGTGTACACGGCCTGCGCGAACAAGGGCGCGTTGTCGTTCACGTCCGACACCGGCACCCGCAGCCCGCGGCTGGCGCGCAGCGCCGGCGCCCCGCCGTCCTCCGCACGCACCTCCACCTCGTACTCCGACACCCGCTCCCGGTCCAGCGCCTCGCGCAGCACCAGCGAGTACGAGCCCGCGAACGTCGCCTCCAGACCGAACGGCGACGCCGGCCACACCCAGCACCGCACGCGACCGTTCTCGCCCGAGTCCCGGTCCGACACGCTCAGCAGGGCCACCACCGTCCCCAACGACGCGTCCTCGGGCACCGGCACCGACAGCGACGTCACCCACACCTCCGGCGCGTTGTCGTTCACGTCCAACACCTCCAGCACCACTTTGCAGTGCCCTGACAGCGGAGGCGTCCCTTTATCTGTGGCCCTAATATTTAGGTCGTATAAATTAACTACTTCAAAGTCCAAGGCGCCCGTCAATCTGATCTCCCCAGTGTTCGCATCAATGCTGAATAAATCTGAGCCAGAGGGAGGAACAACAGTATCAATTTCATATCTCACATCTCTATTACTTCCTTCGTCCAGATCCGTGGCATTCATTCGCGACACTAGCGTCCCTTGTATGGCGTCTTCCGTCAAATGTACATTATACACAGACTGGTTGAATTGAGGAGCGTTGTCGTTTGCATCCAGCACGGAGATCACCAGCTCCATGGTGCCCGACAAAGACGGCCGGCCCCCGTCAGTTGCTGTCAGCACCAACCGGTGCACGGGAATCGTCTCGCGGTCCAGAGATTTCGTGAGTACCAGAAACAGGGACTTACTCCGAGAGTTACTGTTTTCTTCCTCAATTCTAAAGTGATCGCTGGGGCTGAGTGCGTAGGTGAGCTGAGCGTTCGCTCCGATATCCGCATCCGACGCGCCCTCCAGCGGGAAACGAGACCCGGGCATTGTAGATAACTCTGCGATGCTGAGGTTTTTCCGGGCGGCGGGGAAGACGGGGGCATTGTCGTTGATGTCGGTGACCTCCAGCTGCACATGGAAGACGCGCAGCGGCCGCTCCAGCAGCACCTCCAGGCGCAGCGCGCACGGCGCGCTCTTGCCGCACAGCTCCTCCCGGTCCAGCCGCGAGCTCACCAGCAGCGCGCCGCTCGCCCCGCTCACCTCCACGCTCGCCCGCCGGCCCGGCGCCACCAGCCGCAGCCGCCGCGCCTCCGCCTCGCCCGCCTCCAGGCCCAGGTCCTGCGCCAGACGGCCCACCACCGTGCCGGCCTTGGCTTCCTCCGGCACCGAGTAGCGCACCTGCCCGCCCGACAGCGCCCAGGCCGCCTGCAGCACCAGCACCCGCACCACCGCCGCACAGCAACGCTCGCCCATCCTTCCTGCCGCTCTGCCCGCCGCCGCCGCTCTGGCTGCCGGCCCCGGCCCGGCGCCCCGCACGGCTCCCCGCCGCCGCCCGCACGCACCGGCTCTGCTGCCCGGCCCGAGCCGCCCCCCCGCGCTCACAGCCGGGCTCTCCGCCGCACCGGGGCGGAGCCGCCCACACGGACCCGTTCCTGAGCCTGCAGCGACACCGTGCGCTGCTCCGCCGCCTCACACGCTCCGTGACAGCTCCTGTGCCTCCGCTGCGTCATGGCCATCTCCTCTGCTCTTTCTTGTTACAGTGCTCCTTTTATATTTTATCCTTTGGACTTTTACCGCTGCTCTAATCTTACCCATTCTGGTATCTCGCGTGCCGCATCCAGCGCCGCACAGCAAACAAAAGTATTCGGATCCACCAGCTCTTATTACGTGATATCTCAGCTGGAATGCAGAACTGTTAGCGAGGAAGAGCCTGTTGACAACCAGCTCCGGCCAGCGCTTTGAGTCAATGTCCGTGAGTAATCCTGATTTTAAATTTCTTCTCTTCGTCATCTTTCATTCTTAATTCTCTCCTTGTGCCATTCTTTCTTAGAATGTTCTGTTTTTCTTTCTCTTCTTCTTTTCCTTCTTTTTTTCTCTCCTTTGTCACCTTCTTCCTTTTTCGTGTATAGTGGTAGTGTCCGTGAATTGCCAGTAAACTCATTTATAGATTGTCCCTTTCTCTGTCTCTTCTAATACTTTCTTTTTTCCTTCTCTTTCTCTATATCCATCTTTCCTTCCTTCAGTGCAATCTTCTTGCTTTCAATTTTCTTCCATTTCCATCCTCTGTTCCCTTTTCCCTTACCAAGAAGAGAATCACCTTATCATCTCTTCAACATTCTTGGCATGGTGTAGCAACCCATTCTTTGGAAAAAGCTGTCATTCCTTTTCCCTTTTGACTTCAGGGAAGCGTTCAGACAAGGCATGGCAGCATGCCCCAAATTTCAAAAAGCTTCTCATTGACAAACAGTGTTCTACATCAAAACCAAGTAATTAAAGGCACGCAGGGCAGACGTCTTCACAAGCAGCAATACCAGAAAGAACAGTGTCCTAAGAGATGCAGAACTTCTGGATGTCCTGATAGGATTCCAGAAGAGCAGCACTGCGTCGTGGGATCGCCCTCACGATATTCTACTGTGATCCTGTATCTCACACCCTGGGAACTGGGATCTCCACAGCTAGGCAGACATTCTCTATTCCCTCCCCAAACCCCAAAGACGTACTCAAATTCTTTCCTTTACCTCATGCCTGGCACAAATATACAGCATGCTGCAAATCCATTCTGTTCCTCTTTGACTTTTCCCTCATGCCAGGATGCTTTGTGCCTTTTCAGCGATAACAGATAAAAACCGAGTTCTCAAACGTTCTGTAATTGGAGTTGTGAACAATACTGATCCAAATCCCCACAGACCTTCTTCATCAAGAGATCACACCAAAAGCACAAGTGCACTCAAAATGTTAACCGGATGAGAGAATTTCAAGAATATAAAACCAGAGTTGAGCTACTCTGTAGATGTGGAGGTTTGATGTGTACATTCAGACACCAGAATAAGCCATGTGTGAAAACAGGACACACCATCTCTACCCAGACTGATTGTGTGAGACCACAAGAAGGGGAAGAATAGCACCAGATTAAACCCATCTCTTCAACTGCCCTTAAAAATCATCTCTGAAAAGATGAAACACAGACCACCATGGCAAGAGCTGTGGAAGCTGCTATAAATACCCTACAATACATATGGAAAGCAGTTTGTAGTGCCACCTTCCCATATCAACACCCCCAAAACAGCAGCAAAAATGTTCATCAGTCTGCATGTACCCAACACATTCCCTGTGTGAGGCCAGAGGCAGCACAAGAACTGTGTCTGATGGAGATATTCATAACCTCAAAGGACTCTGTGGCCATTTCAGTACCATGTATTATCTCAAGATGCAGAAGGTCTGCAACACCAGATGCTTGGAACATAGAAATGATCCTGGGCAGAAACACTCTGGTCCCATCATGACTCCTGCTTTCCTCTAAGCATCTCCATTCCCCAGTCTCTAACATTCTGTAGAAAATGAAACAATTCCCATTCCAGTCCTCCTATGATATGACTCATTGTCTCACAAATGATTTCAGGTTCCCTCAAAGGAGGCTTCCCAGGGCTCAAAGTCACCTTTCAAACCAGGACATGGCCAGGACATGCTCAGTGTCACTGCCACATTCACCTCTGTGACAAGGCACAATTTTCTTTCCTACCTCAAGGGACAATTAGACTTTGCTTAAATCTAAAGTCTAATTAAGACTTAAATTAGTCTAAATTAGTCTTTAGTCTAAAGGTTTCCCAGCAACGAAAACACTGTGAAATTCACAGAGATGGCATCACATACATGGTCTGGCAGACTCTGCAGATGCATCTTGAACTCTGGTTGTGACACCTGACACCAATATTTAGTGGAGCAATAATATTGGGACAGCTCTCATGGCAAAGGACACTTGATGTCATGCTGAGAGAGACCAAGCAACACGGTAATGAACTCATCAATACAGTGGCTGTGCACTGTGTACAAGAAATTTTTTGTTGTCGTTCTTTAGAAGAGGATTTACAGGGTACTTCTAAAGGTGTTCCAAATGTAAATATTTTAAAAATACCAAAAAAGGTCACTGTTCATCAAGTCACCTGTTCATCCAGGAATGCAAATTAACAACTACTCCTAACAAAAACTGGGAGGGAAAACAACCATGAAAAGGCCATAAACCCTTCCTACTTTCCATAATGACATGAGGACAGAAGTCCAGATTATCATCTTGCCTTGCATCTTTTGTAGAGAACAAATGACAGAACATGACACCAGGGAAGAAACCACACGCGATACCACCACGGTCAGCAGTCAGCAACGGCAATGAGCAGATAAACAGCGCCTGGCAGACTGTCACCACCACAGCCTAACCTGCTCACCTTCAGCAACCTCGAGTGGAAAACCTACACAAAAAGCAAGAAGGAAGACTGTGTCTAAAACTGAAGCCTAGAGGCACCACAGGACAGCTCTCATCACAATCAGCAGAGATTTCATTCTAGGGCAGAACAATTCAAATCCACAGCTGCAAATTGAAGGTGCATACCCTAAGGGATTACAGCGATACCCGACCTCATCAAGGACGAGCCAGCAAATACAAAGGTGCAATTAACACATCTAAACACCCATCGACTTCAGGCTGCGGGGATAGAGCCCGGGTAATAACAGAAAGAATTTGGGAAAAGAGAGACCAGGTACACAGGACGAGAGTTTAGAGGCGAGCACAGCAGTAGCACTGACCGTGTCGAGAAGAGCAGAGGGCTCCAGCTGCGCGTCCTTGGCTGCAGGAGCGGGCGGCGGCGGAGGGAAGTTGGGGCTGAAAACCATGTGGTCGCTCTTGGCAGCGCCGTCCGCCACGCACAGGCTGCGGCTGTGGCGCTGCAAGTAGGACCAGCTGCCCACTTCGCTGGCGCACACGAGCGTCGTGGGCCCGGGCGCCGAGAGCACGGCCGCCCGCGGCGCCCAGCGCGACGCCCCGTACAGCACCACGGCCAGCAGGAAGAGGCTGGACACGGCGCAGATGGCCACCACCAGCCACACGTTGGTGGCCGCGCTCGCCGCCCCGGCCCCGAGCTCCACGCCCGCCGCCGAGCGCGACACCGCTGAGGACGACGACGACGCCGACGAGGATCCCGCGGCCAGCGCCGCCTCGGCGGCCTCGAGCAGCGACACGCTGAGCGTGGCCGTGGCCGAGCGCGCCGGCTCGCCGTGGTCGCGCACGACGATCAGCAGCCTCTGGCGAGGCCCGTCCGCCTCGTCCAGCGCCCGCGCCGTGCTCACCTCGCCGCTGTAGAGCCCCACGCGGAACGGGCCCTTGCCCCGCGGCTCCCACAGCTCGTAGCGCAGCCACGCGTTGTAGCCCGAGTCGGCGTCCACGGCGCGGATCTTGGCCACCACCTGCCCCGCCGGCGCCCCCCACGCCGCCCACGCCCACAGCGTGCCCGACTCCGAGCCCGCCCCCGACAGCGACAAAGCCGCCTCCGCCGCCGCCACGCCGCCCGCCTCCGCTGCCGAGCCCGCGGGCGGCAGCAGCGCCGGCGCGTTGTCGTTCTCGTCCAGCACGAACAGCTGCACCGTGGCGTTGCCGCTCAGCGGCGGCTCCCCCGCGTCCACCGCGCGCACCTCGAACTGCAGCACCTGCAGCTCCTCGTAGTCCAAGGGCTGCAGCGCCCACAGACGCCCGCTCTCCGCGTCCACCGACACGTAGCTCGACGCCGGACGCCACCCAACGCCACCCGACGACGACCCCGCGGCCCCGCCGCCGCCCACGCCCACGCCGCCGTCCCACACCGAGTAGCTGACGCGCCCGTTGGCCGCCTCGTCCGGGTCCCGCGCCCACAGCCGCGCCAGCTCCGCGCCCGCCGCGTTGTTCTCCCGCGCCAGCACCGTGTACACGGCCTGCGCGAACAAGGGCGCGTTGTCGTTCACGTCCGACACCGGCACCCGCAGCCCGCGGCTGGCGCGCAGCGCCGGCGTCCCGCCGTCCTGCGCACGCACCTCCACCTCGTACTCCGACACCCGCTCCCGGTCCAGCGCCTCGCGCAGCACCAGCGAGTACGAGCCCGCGAACGTCGCCTCCAGACCGAACGGCGACGCCGGCCACACCCAGCACCGCACGCGACCGTTCTCGCCCGAGTCCCGGTCCGACACGCTCAGCAGGGCCACCACCGTCCCCAACGACGCGTCCTCGGGCACCGGCACCGACAGCGACGTCACCCACACCTCCGGAGCGTTGTCATTCATGTCCAGAACCTTCAGATCCACGCTGCAGTGACCCGAAAGCGAGGGTGTTCCTTTATCTCTTGCTTCAATCTCTAAGTCATATGACTGAGTGTCCTCGAAATCCAATTCCCCGGCAGTCCGTATTTCCCCAGATTTTTCGTCAATTTTGAAATGGTCCTGAATTTTGGCAGAAACCGCATCGCTAAAAGAATAATATATTTCTTGATTAATTCCCTCATCATTGTCTGTCGCTGTTAGCTGGAAAAACACAGTTCCAGGGGTCGTATTTTCCGGTAACTGCACTTTATACAACGACTGGTTGAACTGGGGCGCATTGTCGTTCACATCCAGCACTGAGATCACCAACTCCATTGTCCCCGTCAGAGACGGCCGGCCCCCGTCACTCGCCGTGAGCAACAACCGGTGCACGGGAATCGTCTCGCGGTCCAGAGGTTTCGTTAATACGAGCAGTACGGAGATTTTATTTTCGTCCTTGGCTTTCACTTCCAAGCTAAAATGCTCGCTGGGGCTGAGTGTATAGGACAGCTGCGCGTTCGCTCCGATATCCGCATCGGATGCGCTCTCTAGCGGGAAACGAAACCCAGTAGGCGAGTTCTCCGATAAAGTGAGGTTTTTGCGAGCGGCGGGGAAGACGGGGGCATTGTCGTTGATGTCGGTGACCTCCAGCTGCACATGGAAGACGCGCAGCGGCCGCTCCAGCAGCACCTCCAGGCGCAGCGCGCACGGCGCGCTCTTGCCGCACAGCTCCTCCCGGTCCAGCCGCGAGCTCACCAGCAGCGCGCCGCTCGCCCCGCTCACCTCCACGCTCGCCCGCCGGCCCGGCGCCACCAGCCGCAGCCGCCGCGCCTCCGCCTCGCCCGCCTCCAGGCCCAGGTCCTGCGCCAGACGGCCCACCACCGTGCCGGCCTTGGCTTCCTCCGGCACCGAGTAGCGCACCTGCCCGCCCGACAGCGCCCAGGCCGCCTGCAGCACCAGCACCCGCACCACCGCTGCACAACAACGCTCGCCCATCCTTCCTGCCGCTCTGCCCGCCGCCGCCGCCGCTCTGCCCGCCGGCCCCGGCCCGGGCCCCGCACGGCTCCCCGCCGCCGCCCGCACGCACGCACCGGCTCTGCTGCCCGGCCCGAGCCGCCCCCCCGCGCTCACAGCCGGGCTCTCCGCCGCACCGGGGCGGAGCCGCCCACACGGACCCGTTCCTGAGCCTGCAGCGACACCGTGCGCTGCTCCGCCGCCTCGCGCGCTCCGCAACTGCGCCTGTGTCTCCGTTCCGTTCAGGCTATCCCCGCTGCCGTCCCTTCCTCTGTGCTCCTCTTCTTTTTCTTATTTCCTTTTCTTTATCGCTTGCTTTCCTAGATTATTTTCCTTCTCTCCTCTTCTTCCTTTCTACCACCCGTTATTTCTCTGGTTTTCATCGGTTTACCTTTCTCTTCACTTTCTTACTTTTTTCTTTTTAATTTGCCTGGTATTTGCTATTGTTTCCTCTCCACATTGTCCTTTTGCTTTATTGCCCTGCCCTAATCTTTATGCCACTTAGCCTTCCGTTCTATCTTTGCTCTTCTTTACCCCCGCCGGCGATTGTCCCGTTGCCTCCTGCACCGCGCTGGAGACCATCGATGTTGGAGTTTATCAGCGCTAATTATGCCATATCAGCGCCGGGGCGCGGTTCTTCAGCCAAAGAAAGGCTGTTCCGGACCAGCTCTGCTCAGCATGGAAACATAAGGTTTGTGCCCGCAGATCAGGTCCTTTGTATTCCTTCTTTTTGCTTTGATTCTCTTCTTTCTTTGTTACTTCCTTACTCCCTTTCTGTCCCAATTTTTTCTTGTACAGTCGCCATCCTTCATATATCCTTGTCTCCTTCATTTTCTTCTGCTAATCTTTCTCTTCTTTTTTGTCTCTTTTCCTTCTATTTCCTGATTCTCTTTCCCTATGTCTTCTTCATGCTCTTAATTGTAATATTTTTACTTCCTCCTTCTCACTTTCTTTCTTTATCTCTTATGTGCTTCCATTTCCTTTACTAATATTCTTTCCAAATGTATATATAATAATACTAGCAATGAACACGTCCTTTGAATAATGTTCTCGTTCTTCTTCCTTGCAACGATTCCTTCCATTGCTTCTTTTGTCCACTTCTTCTTTGTCGTTTTTCGTCTCCCATTTTATCTTTCTCTTCTCTGCTTTTTCTTTCTCTCACCTTGTCTGTTGCTGCCATCCTTGAATCTTCTATTGTGTATTTTCCCCTTAAGGAAATGTTTTAAAAATAGCTACACCATCACACCATGAAGCACCAACATGCTTTAGGAACAGGGCACTCCCACCTCTCATTCCTCATGACAGGGAATAGCCTTCTTGCTTTCCTCCCCTACCAAGCACCTGCAGTTTCCTCTCCCTTCAGGATCCAATCCACATTTGGAGGCTTCAGTCATCTCAAGGACCCAAGAAATAAATCAACAAAGCAATCACATAGTAGAGAACAGCTTTGTTACATCAGAGAATAGTCCACCCATGCAGACATCTAATACAAAAAAGGCTCCAGAGTCCAAGTTACCAAGGGAGTCTCTCCTCTACAAAATCAAACCCATCAGAGTCCAGCATGATAATCCTCCAAGAACACTGCAGAAAAAACTCACGATGACACTACATCCCTCATTTAACTCGATGGAGAGCAATTCTGCCTGACTCATTTTTCACCTGCAGAGCTATTACAAAGTTCACCACAGCATTGTCACTGAAAGCATCCTCTGCATGCCCAGCACATCTACTCCTAGAAAAGCATTAAGGTCACTTCTCCATCTGCCCTTCCTTCCCTCTTCTCACCCTGTGCCAGGAAGCAGCACAATCAAGTGAGAGGACAAAACATGCTCCAGACCTACAGGAATTTCAATTCAGGCAATATTTAGTTGATCCAATGTGAAGATACCACAGCTGAACAAGTGATGCATTGAGAGGCTGCATAGAACAGAGGTTAGACAGTGCTAAAGGCATAAAGTAGGGATTTATTAAAAGGCCTTCAAAGGATGCACCTTGGGCGTGCAAGAGCCTGGCCAAGGCTACACCCAAGATAAATAATTGGTCACAAGTTCTCACACTTTTATAATTTTTGGTCCATTTAAATATTGGCGTTAATTGTCCAATTACAGCTCCAGGTCATGCTGTCCCATCCTTCCAGATTGCTCTCCTCAATTCACTATCGTTTGCACTTCCTGGGCCGGATCCTGCAACAGTGTCCTTGGTTCTGGGGCTGGAAAAGGATTGTTTTGTCTGACTGAACTGGGAGGACGACTTGGTAACACTTCACATGAAGTTCAGAGTTATATACCAATGCAGTACAGAATCCGGAAAATATATCAGTAAAGCTAAAACTTAAGGCATCACAGGAACCAAAGTACACCTGTCTCTCACACACAGCCTCTTCTTCTAGGAGTAACTCACCTGTAGCATCACTGATTGATTATTCAGAAAAAGAAACTCCGGGACCAGGAGTACTTGTTTTAAGGGACACTGTCCCTTAGTGGCAGCTAGATGACCAAGACCAGGGAGATGACTGATGCCATGTCCCAAAAAAGCCTGGCAGAATGACACAAATTTCAAAAAGTCTTCTGTTTTATCAAGAAAATTCCACCTCCAAGACAAGTGATTCAAGGCATGTATGGCAACTCACTTCATAAGCTGTAATATCACAGGGAACAACAGAAAACAAAAATACAGAGATCTGCTGGAGGTCCTGAGAGGATCCCAGAAGAGCAGCACTATGTAGTGCGTATTTTCACAAGGGTTTCTATTGGCATCCTGTATCAAAATGCATGGGAAATGAGATCTCCACAGCTAACCAGACATTCTCCAGTTCCTCCACAATGCTACAGGCCGTGTTCTACTCAGCATCTGCCTTTCCCTGGGGCAACACTCCTCCCCACCCAAATTCACCCTTCCCATCACATAGGCCCAGGCCTTATTTAGTGCCACACGCAGGATCCCTGCGAAGATATCAAACATTGCTCAACCCCAGAGACATGCCCTGTCTATAAACCCCACTCTGAATGTGATCCAGGCCCTTGTACTCCCTCATCTTCCTTCATGATCACCGGAAAAGATGTACAGAATGTCTAAAACTCTTTCCAGCTACATGATCTTCACCAAAAATGCTTTGTTCCTTTTCAGTAACCTTGGGTGTAAACACCACAGAGCTACACGTTAGAGTTCATAAAAATTCTGTGATCAGAGCTGTGACAGCTCTGATCCCAGTCCACACAGATCTGTTCCTCCAAGAGAACACAGCAAGTGCCAAAGCACAAGAGCACTCACATTGTCAGCCATGAGGGACAGCTTGCACCACATGGACTGGGCAAATCATGCAGGTTTTGGGCTGTTCTTGCAGATATCAGAATGATCCACATGTGATATAGGACACACCATCTCTACTGAGGCCACTTGTGCAGTGTACAAGTAAAGGACGTTGAGCACATAAAGATTACAACCACATGTAATAAAATAATTCTTTGTAAATCCCACCTGAGGAGGAGGAAGGAATCATCATGGGAAATCTACAGCTCTAGAGACTATCACACAAGAATAGCAAGTTGAAGTGTTCCCATCTCACAACATCTTGAAACCTTGAACCTGAAAAAGCTTTCATCACACAACATTCAGCACTCTCCATCTCACCAGCTCTTACTATCACTGGCTGGGGTCTCTGTACATGTCACGAACAGGAAGGCACTGCTGGGGAACGTGCCTTGAGCTGTTTGATTTTCCAGCATCAGTCTCATTACATGGTTATGACAATGGGAAGATGCCAGCAGTTCACATCCCAGGCAGCAGACAAAGAACTTAATATAAAACTTAATGTAGAACTTACTATAAAAGTTTTTTGACCAATCACACAGAGCAAAAGCATATCGACAGTAGTTCTATCCATCCACTATAAGCAATAGTTAAAACAATGCTTATTTATTTCAAATACAATACCTTCTTTCAAGGCTTAAAACACAATGCACAGATGTCCATTATTAAGCTTAGAACTTCCTAATATCTCCCTAGATATACTTTTCTACAGCTCAGGGAGTTATTCTAGACAAGTGTTAATATACAAACCATTGTTCTGTTTGTCCTTAATTTTCTACTTCTTATATCATTTTTCTGCTGACAAATCTCATGGCTACTGCTTAGTTCTAATCGCAGTTCTGTTGTCTCTGAGGCTTGCCTTTTGCAGCTTTCTCAAAACCCTCTGATCTTAAGGATTCCCACATTTACCAACACATGGCCTACACCAGGCAGGCAGCAGCAGCAGAGACAGTCCCTGGTGGAGAGATTCCTAACTGCAAGGGGAACTGTGGGCGTTTCAGTATCATACTCTCATCTCGTTACCAGGAGGGCCTCCCACTCCAGACCCTTAGGAAGCAGGAAAGCATCCTCAACAAGAACACTCTTCTGTTCCCATCTTGTCTCATCCTTTCCTGTACAAATCCTTCACTCTGAGACCCGTTCTAAAGACAGATATATAACCTCATTATATTTTGTTACATGATCCATTGTCTCCCCAAGAATTTTCACTTCCCCACACCAGTCTTTCTGCTGCTCATGGTCATCCTTCCCATCAAAACATGGCCAGGCCGTGCACTATACAACAGACCACAGTTTCCTTTCCTACCACAGGTTCAACATGACAATGGCTTATGCTTCCCAGAAATGACACACGGTAAAAATCCAGGGACGGTATCATCAACACAGTGAATAAGAGATGCTGTGCTGCTGACACCTCATGTTTTGTAATGCTTTTCTACAGGAATATTATTTTTAGAGGTGATGTAGAAACCTCTAAACAGCAATGGCTTTGATTTTGTGCTCCAAGGAAGAACAAAAACTGTGGCAAGGACACTACTATAATAAATGGTATTGCCTGTGTAGGAGAATGTTATTTGAGAATTGGTGGGGAAAGGTGATTCTTGGATTTTGAGGGCTATTTGTTTGTTTGTTCATTACAGAAGTGAAGATTTCCACAGTTAAAGTCCTTTTAAGTCTTGATCATTGATGGGACATTTCATGTAAATTTTGAGGACATCAAAAAAAGGACAATGTACTTTACACTACATTTCTGGTCAGAAATGCAAATCCTCAGAACATGCAGAGCAGAAAAACAACAAATAAATTTCCCTTTAAACACATACCTCCGGTCACACTCTTCTTCCTGAACGCTTTATTCTAAAATAACCAGAGCAACACGATATTGCTAAAAGATCATAGGAAATCTATTGCCACAACTACCTTATTTTCTAAATGAGTTTCATAACAGAAAGATAATACAAAACTTTTGTCCTTGAATATCCACTTTTTACCTTGCATCATGCCTTCACACGACCACGTCTAAAGAAGACGATGCCAGATTTGAATTAAAAAACATAAAAAGAATACTAGCACGGGCAACAATCAGCAAAAGCAAGGCGGGGGTGGTGGAGGTATGCACAGCGCATGTGAGTCTGTCACAAACACAGCCTGGCTGTCTTGAACTCCTTCACCAAAATGGGGTGGAAACGCTAGACATGAAAAATAGAACCCCCTTGCTGTCTGCAAATCTCTCATCGCCGGGCACCCCTTGTCGCACAGAAACGTAATTTAACTCTAGAGCAGAACAACTCACATTTAGGGGACCAAACATCACTTGCCTACAGTAACTGCTCGCGAATGCTGCATTAACTATATTCTGGACCCCTCAGAAAGAGCGGGAGGCTACAACAAGGTCGCGGTGACGGATGTAACAGTGCGATTGTCATTCTTAAGGACCCGCTAGCTACCCAAGATCCGCAAGCCGTGAGAAGGGAGCCCGGCTTCAAACAGCAGCTTCTCATTAGGGCGGATAAAAATCAGCAGACAGGGGAATGAAAGCAGTGGCACTGACCGTGTCGAGGAGAGCGGAGGGCTCCGGCTGCGTGTCCTTGGCTGCAGGAGCGGGCGGCGGCGGAGGGAAGTTGGGGCTGAAAACCATGAGGTCGCTCTTGGCAGCGCCGTCCGCCACGCACAGGCTGCGGCTGTGGCGCTGCGAGTAGGACCAGCTGCCCACTTCGCTGGCGCACACGAGCGTCGTGGGCCCGGGCGCCGAGAGCACGGCCGCCCGCGGCGCCCAGCGCGACGCCCCGTACAGCACCACGGCCAGCAGGAAGAGGCTGGACACGGCGCAGATGGCCACCACCAGCCACACGTTGGTGGCCGCGCTCGCCGCCCCGGCCCCGAGCTCCACGCCCGCCGCCGAGCGCGACACCGCCGACAACGACGACGACGACGAGGATCCCGCGGCCAGCGCCGCCTCGGCGGCCTCGAGCAGCGACACGCTGAGCGTGGCCGTGGCCGAGCGCGCCGGCTCGCCGTGGTCGCGCACGACGATCAGCAGCCTCTGGCGAGGCCCGTCCGCCTCGTCCAGCGCCCGCGCCGTGCTCACCTCGCCGCTGTAGAGCCCCACGCGGAACGGGCCCTTGCCCCGCGGCTCCCACAGCTCGTAGCGCAGCCACGCGTTGTAGCCCGAGTCGGCGTCCACGGCGCGGATCTTGGCCACCACCTGCCCCGCCGGCGCCCCCCACGCCGCCCACGCCCACAGCGTGCCCGACTCCGAGCCCGCCCCCGACAGCGACAAAGCCGCCTCCGCCGCCGCCACGCCGCCCGCCTCCGCTGCCGAGCCCGCGGGCGGCAGCAGCGCCGGCGCGTTGTCGTTCTCGTCCAGCACGAACAGCTGCACCGTGGCGTTGCCGCTCAGCGGCGGCTCCCCCGCGTCCACCGCGCGCACCTCGAACTGCAGCACCTGCAGCTCCTCGTAGTCCAAGGGCTGCAGCGCCCACAGACGCCCGCTCTCCGCGTCCACCGACACGTAGCTCGACGCCGGACGCCACCCAACGCCCGACGACGACGACCCCGCGGCCCCGCCGCCGCCCACGCCCACGCCACCGTCCCACACCGAGTAGCTGACGCGCCCGTTGGCCGCCTCGTCCGGGTCCCGCGCCCACAGCCGCGCCAGCTCCGCGCCCGCCGCGTTGTTCTCCCGCGCCAACACCGTGTACACGGCCTGCGCGAATGAGGGCGCGTTGTCGTTCACGTCCAACACCGGCACCCGCAGCCCGCGGCTGGCGCGCAGCGCCGGCGCCCCGCCGTCCTCCGCACGCACCTCCACCTCGTACTCCGACACCCGCTCCCGGTCCAGCGCCTCGCGCAGCACCAGCGAGTACGAGCCCGCGAACGTCGCCTCCAGACCGAACGGCGACGCCGGCCACACCCAGCACCGCACGCGACCGTTCTCGCCCGAGTCCCGGTCCGACACGCTCAGCAGGGCCACCACCGTCCCCAACGACGCGTCCTCGGGCACCGGCACCGACAGCGACGTCACCCACACCTCCGGAGAGTTGTCGTTCACGTCCACCACCTCCAGCACCACCTTGCAGTGACCCGAAAGGGGAGGGTTTCCTTGATCTGTAGCATCCACTTGCAGGCGGTATAGACGAACATCCTCAAAGTCTAAATCATTCCTGAGACGAACCTCTCCGCTCTTCCTGTCTATTCCAAAAACATCATTTCTATCCTGAGGGAACAGAGTCTCGAGTGAATACGAGATATTTCTGTTCGACCCTTCATCTAAATCCGTGGCATTTAGTTTGATGACTAAGGTGCCGCGTTCTGCATTTTCTGGCAGCTGTACTTTATACACTGACTGGTTGAACTGAGGGGCGTTGTCGTTCGCATCCACCACCAGGATCACCAGCGCCATTGTACCCGTCAGAGACGGCCGGCCCCCGTCACTCGCCGTCAGCAACAACCGGTGCACGGGAACGGTCTCGCGATCCAGCGTCTTCCTGAGCACCAGGAATAAGGACTCACCGTCCTCCTCCGTTTTTTGTAAATCCAGAGAGAAATACTCGCTGGGGCTGAGTGCATAGGACAGCTGCGCATTCGGTCCGATATCCGCATCTGACGCGCCCTCCAGCGGGAAACGAGACCCCGGCACAGATGATTCCGCCATGCTGAGGTTTTTCCGGGCGGCGGGGAAGACGGGGGCATTGTCGTTGATGTCGGTGACCTCCAGCTGCACATGGAAGACGCGCAGCGGCCGCTCCAGCAGCACCTCCAGGCGCAGCGCGCACGGCGCGCTCTTGCCGCACAGCTCCTCCCGGTCCAGCCGCGAGCTCACCAGCAGCGCGCCGCTCGCCCCGCTCACCTCCACGCTCGCCCGCCGGCCCGGCGCCACCAGCCGCAGCCGCCGCGCCTCCGCCTCGCCCGCCTCCAGGCCCAGGTCCTGCGCCAGACGGCCCACCACCGTGCCGGCCTTGGCTTCCTCCGGCACCGAGTAGCGCACCTGCCCGCCCGACAGCGCCCAGGCCGCCTGCAGCACCAGCACCCGCACCACCGCCGCACAGCAACGCTCGCCCATCCTTCCTGCCGCTCTGCCCGCCACCGCCGCCCTGGCTGCCGGCCCCGGCCCGGGCTCCGCACGGCTCCCCGCCGCCGCCCGCACGCACCGGCTCTGCTGCCCGGCCCGAGCCGCCCCCCCGCGCTCACAGCCGGGCTCTCCGCCGCACCGGGGCGGAGCCGCCCACACGGACCCGTTCCTGAGCCTGCAGCGACACCGTGCGCTGCTCCGCCGCCTCACACCCATCGCAACAGGACCCGTGCCGCCGCCTCGGATGGTCATCTCCCCTGCCGTGTTTTGATCCACTTCTCCTGTTTTCTTCTCTGCTTTTTGTTTTTTTTTTTTTTCTTTTCATTTTTCCTGTGTTGGCGTTTCCTTGCAAATATACCTTACCTTCCTCCGTGTTTTAATTTTTTCATTTTGCTTTCTTGACTCTGTTCTCTGCCTTTTACTGTCTCTCTGTCTTTCCCTTTCCTTTTTTTTCCCTCCTCTCTTTATTATATTATGCGTCCTTGTCATTCGTTTTTCTTCGTTTTTGTATTTCGTTTTCTTTTTACTTTCCCCCTCCTTCCTTCCCTACATTTTATTCCATTTCTGTTCTCCTTCCATCAATCTCTTCTCTTCACTCCGCTGCCCGTTCTCAACTTTCAGGCGCCGCGATGCCAACCATCCAGCCGGATTCCAGCCATCAGCGCCGGCGGTGCTCTAACCAAGAGAGTGGCTGTTAGGGAACTGCTCCGTTCTGCATCTATAGGTACAGTCCGTACATGCTTTTCTTGTTTTCTTCATTGTATTCTTCATTGTATTCTTTATCCTTTCTTCATTACATCCTTCTGCTATTAATTTCTATCACGTTTCTACCTTTTTTCTTTCCTCTCCTCTATTTCCTCCATTCTGTACTACTTTCCAGCCCTTCTCCCTTCCTTTATACAATGATACTTTCAGTGACATGCTCGAGATCTCTTTTGTAGTTTCTCAATCTCTCACTCTTCCTTCTTTCTATTGCTTTTTTGTTGTCCTCTGCTTCTTTTCCTTGCTTGCATTGCTTTCTCCTTCTCTTTCTTCTCAATCTCACTTCCTTGTCCTGTCCCTTCTCTTCTTTTGTCTTTGCCTTTCCTTTGTTTCCTTACACATGTTTTCTAAGCGATTGCATCACTTTCACCATGAAGCATGGAATGAAAGCAAGCTCTCATTCCTCTTCCCCACCATATTCCATCTGTCCAGAAGATGAACAACTGTCCTGGTTTCCAGGCTATTCAAAACAGACAGAAGGCTGATTCACATCTCCTTCAGCTAAAACACCACACTCTCAGCTCCTTTCCTCTCAGTGACGAGAATTCACCACACTCTGAAACACAAGCCCAAGACTCAGCTACTTCAGTGCCTGGGAAAAAGGTCCCAAAAGTCCAAATCAACCCAGGATAATCTTCCAATCGGGAACTTAAACCCATTGCAGCACAGTACACCAATGTGCCACGAAGGCTGAGAAAGCAGGGGAACACCACAGCTCCTGAGATCTACATTTCTGGCCTCATTTATCATATGTACGGTGAAAGCCAAGGTCTTGCTTCTCCTTTCCAGGCTGACATGCTCTGCTAGAAAAACTCAGCACCTTATCCAGGGGCATTAGTCCCAATGGAATCTCTCTCACTTTGCAGCACACTCCACCCAGCCAAAGCTGCAAAGGTAACACCGTGGCATTTCCCCCGAGAATATCCCCTCAGCTCCCAATACATCCACTCTGAAAAACACATGAGGGCCCCCCCTCCATCCATCATTGTTGTCGCTAATTCACACTGTGCCTGGAAGCAGATGGAACAGAATAAGCAGTGGTGCTTTGCTGGCCCAGTCACAGGATACCTCAAATAGGAAGGAACCCATAAGGATCAACAAGCCCAACTCCCACTCCAGGCAGCCTTTGGTCAACCCAATATGAAGGCTCTCAGACTCAACAGGAACAAAAGTACAACTGTCTCACACGCTCATCTTTTTTAGCTAGAAGGGACTTACCTGCAGCATCACCGGTTACTTCTTCAGAATGGAAACTTTTTCAGGGAAGGGGAAAAGAGGAATTATGTTTTTTACCCCCAGTGTTATCAGAGATTTCTGGGGAACATGGATTGGGGAAAATAACATGCATTCTTCAAAACCCTTGAAATCACTGGACAGAGCAGAGGGGAAGCAGGAGGAGCAATGGAAAGATAAAGATGTTGTCTCAGCCTCAGCTCAGAATGCTGGAAAAGCAACCCTTACACTGATTGCAAATTGCCACCCAAGGCCTGCCAAAATTCATCAATCTACATTTCACCATCTGTTACCAAGACATTGCCAATGGAAGAGAAGCAAAACAGAGAAATGGGCGGTTTGGTAAGAGGAGAGAATAAAAACAAAGGATCCCATTCCACTATATTTAAACACAAGCTTTGCCAATTTCTTGAAGGGCACTTCATCCACTGCCTAGCAAAATTAAGCAGGGAGTTTACCAAGGAGAAGTTCAGAGAAGTCTGGCCAAACATGATCAAAAATATGATGAAGCTTCTATTTCACCAAGACCACTTCCCATCAAAAGCAAGTGATCCAAGTTGTGTATGACATGTGTCTGACATCTGGCAGGAAAAGCATGGAGAGTAACAAGGAATGGGGATATGCAGGACTTCTGAGAGGATCCCAGACAAGCATCCCTGTGTATTCCAGGCCTTGTTTTTCAAGGTAGTCTGCTTGCATATTCTATCACTTGCCCCTGGAAATTGCCTGTCCACAGCTAAACAGATATTCTCCAGTTCTTCCCCACTAATACAGTCCATGTTCAACACAATGTCCTCATTTCCTCAGGGAAGAAACTTCCCCACTCAAAGTCACCCTCCTCTTGATGGATGTCTCGAGGCCTTCTCCATGCCACTTACAGGACTGCCACAGTATGCAGACACAGTGCCACTGTGACAGACCAGCACTTCAAACTCATTTGGAGCATAAACCAGGCCTTCAGCTCTCCTCCTAAATGGCACAAAGAACTTATGAAATGGTGCAAACTCACACAGAATTTGGCAGGCTCTTCCCAGCTGTGTGAATCTCACTATGATTATGCTTTGTGCTTTTCAGTCATCTCAAGGGGAAACAACATGGAGCTCTACACTAGAGTTCATAAAAATCCTGTGATTAGTGGTGTCACAGCTGTGATCCCAGTCCACACAGACTTCAGATATGAAAGTGCTACATCAAATGCTAAAGTGCAAGTGCAGTCACGATATCGACTGTGTGGATATCCCCATAGAAATGGAGATAATAGTTCTATGATATAACACTAGGCCTGGGCTGCTCTGGAGGGTTTGATGTATATGTACACATTTCAGAGTAAACTGTATCAAGGGGGCATGGCACTGCTACCCAGGGTAATAGTGCAAGTGCACAAACAGGGGAAACAAGCACGCAGAGATTACCCTCACTTTCTCAACACGTCTGTTTACTAATCCCATCCGAGTAGAAGCAAGGAACCATTATTGCAAAGTCTATGAAGGTGGAAGTGACTGTGGATGCCCAGTACAGCAGGCTGAAACTCTACCCACCCACAACTCCCTTCTCAAAATAAGCAGGCAAAGGTTCATCAGACAACATTCAGCATTCTGCATGGCATCTCCTCTTACACATCTCCTATGGTAATCACTCAGTAGCACAAGGGACTCTCTCAGGTAGAAGATATTCATAAGGTCAAAGAGTATTTTTGGCATTTCAAAACCATGTAACTATCTGAAGATCCATAAAACCTGCACATGAAGACACTTTGGACCCTGAAGATCATCCTGTGAAAGAACATTCTGTTCATCCTGCTTCATTCCTCTAGGTATCCTGGGACATGCATTCTCAAGACAAACACATCAACTCCATTTCCTGTCTTATGTCATGGCGCATGGAATTCCAGTTCCAACAGACAAATCTTCTCACCGCTCAAGGTCACCCCTCACACCAGAAAATTGTCAGGCCCTACCCAGTACCACAGGCCACAGATTCACTCCCCACTTCAAGGCCCATTTCAAGTTTATTTATCCTTCTCAGCAACGACAGCACCACAAAACACTGACAGGCAGTATCATGTACAAGGTATCATGTACATGTACAGCACACTTTCTGCAGCTGACCCATTGTGTTTTGCAATGCTGTAACTATCTCAGAAGAAAGCATGACCTGGTAACAATAATCTTTTCAAAGGTGATGTCAAGAAATCTCTTAATGGGAATGGCACTGATGTCATGCTCTGAGAGGGAAACCAAAATGCTGGGGAGCATATGAGTGTAACATTCAAATCTGATCATCTACAGGAATGTTATTTGAGATTTGGTAGGGAAAGCTGGGGCTTGGGGGTTAATATTTCTTTCTAGTTGCAGAGAGGAACATTGCCCCAAGGCTTTTGAAATAATGTCACTGTCGATACAAATTTGGAAAGGGCAAAACTAGCCAGGGTGTCCCATGACCCTTCTCTGAATGGAAACACAAATCCACAACGTGGGGACCGGGCAGCAGGAAGAGAAACAAATTTAACCTTTGCCACATTTACCTTTGGTCACATTGGACTGCCCGAACCCATATGTTACTAAGAAAAGCAAGAAGATACCTCAAAAAAAGAAAGCAAAAAACTCCCCAAAAAACCCCAAAACAACAACAACAACAAAAAACCCCACCACAACAGGGATAAACTCTATACTGCTTTTATTGTTTCCTTTATGATTCTAGTGGAGGAACCGACTAGATACGATTTTTGCATGGCACTCAAATAGGAAAAACTGCATCACATCTCTTGCAGAGGGAAATGAATGAAAAGAGATTTCAGTAACAATCCAGAATAAAACAGGCAGGGGATCATTCAACAAAGACAATAAGACGGCGTGTAGTGCTGGGAGGACTGTCAGAACCACAGCCTGCCTATCTTGCACTCCTTCAGCAAACTCGGGTGGAAACCCTAAACTGAACCAGGCAAGACAGTTTCCAAACCTGACACCCTAGGGCACTTCTCATTGCAATAGGCAGGG